GATAGTCAGCCCTTAACTACCGTAAACAGCTACTCGTATACTAACCTACTACAGCAGATCCTTTCCCTGATCGAGATCTTTCCCTCTCAACTACATTTCGCTGCCGCCTGAAGCGAAGCATACCTGTTTCTTCATTGTAATAGCCGCCACCCACCCCTCTGACGATTCATACTTCTGTCTACCTGCCAAATTCAAGCCTTCTTGGAATTGCTCTCTAGCCGGAGGCATTCGATCTTCACCTACGTTTCTATTCTAGATGTGTGCGATATATCGATTTTGTTGCCCAAATGGGCCAGTGGATGTGGAATAATAGTTCTACACTCCTTAACAAAATGAAATGAAAAAGAATCAACAATCGCAGCAAATTATTTAGTTTCCGAGGTCTTCATGATGTCTTCTATCTTCCCCGCCGAATATATATATATAGATTCTAAGTATACATGACACAACGCAAGTCAACTATCTCCAACCAATCTCAAAATGTTCGCCAGTGCAAGTAAAAACAAGAGTGAAACCGGGACAACAAACTAAGGAAACTCCAAAATCCATCAATATAAAAATGCGGAGGCGAGCAAAGGTGATCAATGAAGAGTGATAGGCATATTTACACGCTGGATTGCATTTCAGAAGAGCTTAACAGCAGGAAAACATGAGAAAAGAGGTAATGGCAAAACCAAAATGTATGTAAGACGGGCACTTCACTTCTATTGGCAGAAGAAAATAAGAAGAATGGCGTCCAGGCAGGGAGCGTACCAACCCAAAAGCCAAAGAAAGAAAGGAACAGGCTGCGTAACTTCATAATAAACCGTGAAGGTCGAAATGTTAGTAAACGAGAGAATGCAAGAAGCAAAAAAGGATCAAAAATGCAAAGATGCAAAGATTTCGGCGATGATCTGGGAAAGAAATGAGAAGTAAAAAACGAGGACAACGAACGCCTGCAAAATTAAAGTTAACGAAATGTGGTATAAGGATATCATAAAACACGCCAAGAGAGGGGGGGGGAACATCAAAATTGGTATAATCAGTAGCAACTATCGGACCGAGGACAGAGCTAATGCCATTAATTGCTCTTGCAAATCCTTCATTTTCTCAGCTCCAACGCACTCCACAGCTCCGTCTTCAGGATTTCCTTTAAGCTGCACGGCAAAGTACTCGCCGTCGCCACCATGGGCGCCAACTGTAACCCACACAAATTTACCTCCAGACGCCGTCATCCACGACTTCTCCTGGGCTCCATCCCAAAAGACCTCGCCGCGGTAGTCTTGTTTGGAGATTAATGCATTCGGAATGAATTTACCAGATACGGTAGTCCGAGCCGTAGAAATTGGTTTCTGGAGTACCACTTGACTACCGAGCTTCCCATTCCCTACCCAGCTCTCCAAAACCTGTTTGACAAAGTTGATCTTTTCATGAAAAGAATTTGCTTCTAGTATGTCGCGGAACCGACTGCTGCTAATGCCGGATGGATGAGCAGTTCCGCCTGAGAGAGCTGCAAGATATGTGTTCATATTTTCAGAAATGACAGCTCTCGTGTCAAAACCTGCGGGATGCATTTTGCCCCTAGCAGAGAGGTAACGTGCGGCGGAAGGTGAAAGGTGATAGAAATCGGCCTGGCAAGGGGGGGATTTTGACGAGGTTTGCGATTTGCGGTCCGGAAGCGAGATAACGAGTTTAGTATGATCCGGAAAATTAAACTGCAGGTGAGGAGTAAACAAGACATGTCCACGATACAAAATTTAGGAGGTCAAATACGAACCTGAAATGACCCGTCTCCAAAACCCCAAATACCAACATTTCCTAACCTTTGATAGAACTTGACATACGGACGAATTTTAGAAAGCCGTCGGTCGCGACTCCTATCTTCTTCAGCAGGACAGTCTTCATCCGCCCCCCTTCCCAAAGAGCAAATCATATATTTGCCAAACTGATCAACGAGTTTAACTCGTTTCACCTTCTCCGCATCGCATCGGGCAGAGTCAACACCCAAATTCATGCGGACTTTTATTCCCGGCCCACCAGGGCCATTATGATTCCTCACTTCAAATGCATCAGGATGGACAAGAACTCTCTTCGTTCCGCCTCCAGAGAACCCGCCATTGTGCGGTTCGATATTCTCGTAAAATTCCACGGGTTTCCCATTTCTTGGAACGAGTTGATTGGCATCGGAATATGAGCTTTGGGGGTTCGCTTTCGAGTGAGCCTTCCGGCGGATATGTCGTTCTCCATCTCGGACCACCACGCAGCTGGCAGGGTGGCCATTTTCCGCTTTGAAAACGCAGCCTACACTCCCGTCGTCCAAAATATACCCGATGCCATATCTATTCGTATAATCGACCCATTTAACGACATAGGGCTGCGGATCATAGAATGATGAAAGCTCCTGGAGTTGATAAGTATTTGACATTGACTTTGCTAATGACTGTGATGGTTCAAAACATTCAAGATATGTTTTGAGAACACTCAAAACCTCACTCGTCGTCGTCCCTGGCATTAACTCGACATCTTCGTCGGGATGTATTAGAGGGCTAAGTCCGAGAGTGGATCGTGATTTGCTTGAGTAGCTGGTGGATTTGCTACCATTGCTACCACTGCTATTTGCACCCCGACATCTTTCCTCAGGCTTCGCTTCACTTAGCTGTCGTGATGGGTTTAACGATTGCTCACACGATTGTTGTATTTCCTTCTCGCGGGAATCAACTCTAACACTCCTGACAGACATGGCTCTAACCGAGCCATACATTTCATTCTTGATTTCTACTGGTTCGACTTGATCTTCAGTTTCCTGCACTAATTGGTTCTTCTGTCGTGATAGCGCTGCAATTTGTTGCCTCGACTGCGATCTCGTTTTGCCAATTGTGAGAACATTCGGTTCTGAAATGGATTTAGGCATGGAGAAACTCGTTGCCACGCCACTTTCCCGGACAGACGCAGAATAGCCTGAAGCTACCCGTCGTGCCCGTATTGGTCTCTCGCTCAGCGGCCGCTGAGGTGGATTGCTCTCAGTTAAGACGTTGTTTTCTAAGGGTTCTCTGATATCTACATCAGGGTTCCGAAGAGCAAAAGAAGGGTTCCTTGTTGACTGTCGCTGTGGCGCAGCCTGTTGCCGTAGGAGAGCAGCGTGGCTCTGGGGTTGAGTTTCTTTGCGGTGAATCTGGGCGGCCAACGCTGAGTTGGTACGAGCAGCAGTTGCAGCTTGTTGTTTTAAGGATGAACTACGTGTTCTTGGAAGCGGCTCGTCATCTATAGGGCTGGCTGGATCAAGCTTCGCAGCGCTGTCTTCCTCTTCACGACTCCAATCTCCATTTGATCCGGTATAGTAGCAGTAGACTCGATCTGCAGGCATAGGAACAATTGGTTGCATCCCTTTCTCTTCTTCGGCAGCGCATTCAGCAAAGGCTGACTTTGAACATCGTTTCCCTACAGATCGTCTGGTTAATCCAGAGGATGTTTTGCCCACTCCACATTCTGCGTAAAACTCATTTTTGCACAGAAGATATCTCTCATCGGCATTTCTTGTATAAGTTATCTTCGTAAGGTATTTCGCATCATGATCGAGGCTATATCCGTGACTCATACGATCTCCTCGAGGATCTTGGGCTTTTAACCAGGTAGGCGTAGAGAGACGGGTCGCTGGATCCAGTTGACCGGGTATGCAACCGTTATACATATTGAAAAATGCGTGATCAACAATCTGGTCTGGCTCTGGTCGTTCTTCCTCGTTCAAATTAAGGCACGAACCAACCAAGTGCTTTGCTTCTACTGGTATGTAATTCGCTCCGTCGGACTCCTTAGGCCACACATATGTAAGGTTTTTGACTTTCTGGTAGATTTCCTCCTGCGTTTTTGATTGAAAGGGGGGATAGCCGGTGAGCATAGCAAAACTAAAGCAGATTGTTAGTCCACTGCACACGGGTTATTTAGGCATTGAGACAGCCTGCTCACCAGATTACACCCAAAGACCATATATCAACTTTCTGATTATGGCCTCCTTTGCTTCTGTCCAGAACCTCTGGCGCGATATAGTTCGGGGTCCCACAGAGCGTCCTCCGTCGCTTTTCATCCTTCTCTGAAAGAACGATAGCGGCTAGGCCAAAATCCCCGACTTTGATGTTCATATCATGATCGAGAAACAAATTTCCCATTTTCAGATCTCGGTGAGCGACATTTCTCTTATGCATATACTTTACAGCACCACACAACTGGACCATAAATCTCCTAACTTCGGGCAAGCTCAGGTATTTCCTTTTCCTGACCATGTCCATAACAGAGCCGTTGGGGCACAACTCCAAGACCACATATGTGTTTTGCTCGAAGGCAAATGCGCGGTAAAATCCAACAATATTGGGATGTCGCATCTTTGAATGGATTTGCAGCTCCGTTCGAAACTACGTGTGAAGCAAGTTAGACACTCTTATATGTGCGATAGCGCGAATGTTTCATGATAGTCCGTACCTTTTCTTCCATTTTCTTCTGATTCATTTCTGATTTTACCACCTTCATCGCATACACCCTCTCATTCCTCGCAAGCTTCCCTTCGTAGCATACCGCAAATCCTCCCTTCCCGAGAAATTTGCCGGTGATATATTCTTCTCCCCCATCTTCTGGCTCGCGAACTATTGGAGGCGGGGGAGGGGCATGGTGTTTAGAAGGACGTGCCTTTTGCGGTGGTGCATCTTTGACGCTCGCCTTCTTCATAGGATCAATCTTGGGCTTCGGAAGAATGTTAGTCGAGCGGGGTGACAGTGCCTCCATCGTAGTATGCACAAGATTAGGGTATCGTTCGCCAGGTCATGCGATTGCGGTGAGGAGATTTCAAACAATCCAAAATGATATTGACGAACAAACACTTCACAACTAGATCTAGATTTCATGGATTAATCTCAAATAAAAACGAAAAGCTGGACTGTGGTCGAACAAATGTGAAATGATTAGCCTTTTGAGTTAAATATGAAGAACAAGACTCGACAAAACAACAAGGATATAGCCATGCGATGTGCACAATGCCAGCATGTAGAACAAAAGACATCATTTACCATAAAAAAGATGTTGCTCTATTCGGATACCACAACCAGGAGGGCTTTTCTGAGCACCGTTCCCGCAATTCACAGCTTGGTCTCATCTATGGGATGGAGTTGAAGGGATTGACGACGTTTAGTTTTCTCAAAGTGGAATATTGTAAACATTGGCCCGGAAACGCAATAAATGTCAACAAACGCTAAGCTCTTTTGGTTCTAGCGCTTTTATCCTGAGCCTAGTCCACGAGCCAATCAGCGAACGGCGCTCGCTTGGGCAGCGGGAACTAGTAATTTGACTCGAAATATCTTTTACAACAACTCCAAGGGTATCCCCAGCTTCAGCCGAAAGTTCACCTTCGACGGGTCAAAGGCGCATCGGTAAGGCACCAAGTCCTCGACGAATGTATGGAGATAAATATACAGATACGCGAATTGTGACATGCTTGCGTCTATCGTGGCGTTGCCGTTTTCTAACATCGCAGAGAGCTACAACATCCAGTCCGTCAAGAGATGTCGATAACTTTAAAGCTTTCCTCCCTGGTTATTCGAACACTATCCAAACCCATTGCTGTAAGCCGGAGCCAGCAATCGCAGCCGCTCTGTCCCTATCAGCCTTGGAAGCTAACTGGATGCCATTATCAAGAACCAAATCAAGGCACAGGCACGCGAACATGAACGATTCCGACGGGTATGCGTCTCCTTCGCCCAAGCCATCCATCGGGTGGATATGCGCATGCGACTGGGCCTCCTACAGAGCTCCGCTGCGTTAGATAAACAGGCTGCACGCGAGACTGCTCAATCCCAGGCCAAAAAACACAAACCCCAAGTTGCTACCGTGAAGACAGAAGCGCAAATCAAGCTGGAAGAGTCCCTTGCTGCGAAGGAAAAGGAGAAGGCACAAGAACCACCCAAACCGCCTCCGCCGCTGCGAATCCGACCACTTTCAGAGGCAAAGGCTATTGACTCTGGAGCAACTTTTATCAGTGAGACCTTTCTATTTATAGTCGCTGGTAGTTTGATAGTATTTGAGGCGCTCAGGTCACGGAGAAAAGAAACATCGAGAAGAGAGGATGTGGCAGATCGACTTGCGGATTTAGAAGAGTCCGAACAAGCGGCTCGGCGCGGACTTGTTGCTCTGGAGCGTGAAGTTCTTCAACTGAAAGCAAAGCTGGAGAAACAGTCGCCCAAAAACATGCAACGAATATTACCCAAAGATGTTTGGAATGTTGAAGAAGCCGAGGCCGAAACCGAAGAACTTGGTTGGAAATCTCGACTTGTCCACTATTTTCGGAAATCTAAGCTGGAGGAAATCAAACGATAAACATGCTCGTGGATCAAAAAACCCTGGCGCTTCTGATGACTTTTCAGCGGTATCTCAACCCTCGAATGGCTCTGCTCAGTCGCTCACATCTCCCCATCACCGCATCAAGCTACCAAATGAGGTGTAATCCATGGACCATATCGGGGCCACTTCCATACCAACACCTAACTGAGTTTTGGAAAGCCAAGTTACATGGGAAGCCGTGTTTTCTGATACCCCTTTAGAAATTTGAATGATTTTAATACATATATCACGGAGTGCTTAGTGCCTGACAAATGTACATTTAAATATAGTTTTTGCGCATATCATCTCTGCTTTCTTATACCTCCTAATGCAACTTCCGCTCAGGTACTCTAGTGTTCATATCACTTCCCTAATTCCAGTCTTTTTTTTTAACGTGTGTGATATCAAATACTCTCTCTTTTGCTCAATCGGAAAACCTTTATATAGCCCGAATCGTTCACGAACTCATGCCTAAAGATGCATTGTCAAAGATTCAAGAGGAATGGAGACTTCTTTTAAATGTGTTAAAGATTAAGGAATCTCAATTCTGTTGCCAATAGTTTTATCAGGCAGTCATCCCCAAAGTGGTTTAGTGCCGCGATTGTAACTAATTGCGTGTTGCCGGATTACCTAAGTAGGGGCTGAGCGCCACATAGCCGTGGCGCAGTCGCAATAAGCGCCGCATCATCATCATCATCATCGGGCGTCAACTCCTCGTCCAAGACTATCCATTGTCAAACACCAACCAACCACCCGCGTGCTTTGATTGCATGGTTTATTCTGCTTCCTTTCTGTATTTTTTCCTATCTCTGTTGCTGTGCCCTACACCCAGGTATTCAAAAAAGACGAGAGGTTTCATGCTCTTGCTGCTCTCTCTTGAGCGCATCGCTTTATCGAGGAGTACGTGAGATAAATACTCCCTTCCATCCGGCGGACATAACCCAACCCGCACGCTCCAAGGAGCCCAAAGAAGATGGTAGGCACATGTGGATTATATTTCCCCATCTATATATCTAACCTTGTCAGACAATTATATATTTAACTGTTTCTATCTTTAGGGACATTCGCGACGCCCAAGGGATACTGAAAAGAAGGGTCGTGGCTTTGGACGCTCCAGGCATGCTGAGGGTGGGGCAGTGGGAAAGCCCCAGGTTAAGAAGGCTGTGTTCGAAAGCACAAAGAAGAAGGAGGTTGGAGTATCAGATCTCACGCTCCTCAGTAAAGTGTCGAATGAAGCCATAAATGAGAATTTGAAAAAGAGATTTGAACATGGAGAAATTTATGTATGGTTGCCATTTGGAAACACCCATCTATATCGCCCTCTCACCTTCCCTTTTGCCAATGTCACAGTTACTTACAGATTCCTCTGATCTAGACATATATCGGCCATGTGCTTGTCTCTGTCAACCCGTTTAGAGACCGTAAGTTGATAATCGAGCTTACTGCAAACCCCGAGGTTCCCATACTGATAGTTCTACAGTGGGTATCTATACTGACCAAGTCCTTGATTCCTACCGTGGGAAAAATCGACTTGAGGTGCCACCGCACGTTTTTGCCGTCGCCGAATCCGCGTATTATAACATGAATGCTTACAAGGAGAACCAATGTGTTATTATCTCAGGAGAATCCGGTGCTGGTAAAACTGAAGCCGCCAAGCGACTGATGCAATATATTGCAAATGTATCAGGTGGCAGTGATTCTTCTATTCAGCATACCAAAGACATGGTACTGGCGACCAACCCCCTTCTCGAATCCTTCGGCAATGCAAAGACCCTGCGGAATAATAACTCTTCTCGCTTTGGAAAATATTTGGAGTTACAATTTAATTCCGTTGGCGAACCCGTCGGTGCGACAATTACCAATTACCTCCTCGAAAAATCTAGAGTCGTTGGACAAATAACGAATGAACGAAACTTCCATATATTTTATCAATTTACAAAAGCTGCTCCACAGGCTTATAGAGGTGGGTGAACCGTCATTTGTGGTGACTTGGTTCTTTAGTTCTCCATATGTGAGTTGCTGCAACTAACAAATATTATAGATAATTTTGGTATCCAGCAACCCCAATCATACGTGTATACAAGCCGCTCGAAGTGTTTCGATGTCTCAGGTATAGACGATGCGATGGATTTCAAAGATACCTTAGAAGCCATGAGAATTATTGGTTTGTCTCAAGCTGAACAGGATAATATCTTCCGCATTCTTTCCGCTATCCTATGGCTTGGAAATATGCAATTTGTTGAAGACGACGGTTCAAATGCCTCAATTACAGATCAATCCGTTGTTGATTTCGTTGCGTATCTACTAGAAGTAGACTCTGCCCAAGTGAGCAAAGCTCTTACCCTGAGAATTTTGGAAACAGCCAGGGGTGGGCGAAGAGGATCGGTATACGAAGTTCCTTTGAATACTGTCCAAGCCACCGCTGTTCGAGATGCACTCGCGAAGGCTCTTTATTTTAACCTTTTCGATTGGATCGTTGAGCGAGTTAATGCCTCCCTCGCAGCTAGGGGCTCTGTTGCGAACTCCATTGGTATCCTGGATATTTATGGGTTTGAGATTTTTGACAAGAACTCCTTTGAACAGCTTTGTATCAATTATGTAAACGAAAAGTTGCAACAAATTTTCATCCAGCTAACCTTGAAGACGGAGCAAGAAGAATACGCCCGTGAACAAATCAAGTGGACTCCAATCACCTACTTTGATAACAAAGTCGTGTGCTCCTTGATCGAAGACAAACGGCCTCCCGGGATCTTCGCTGCATTGAATGACGCTTGTGCAACCGCACATGCTGACTCCGGTGCTGCTGATCAGACATTCGTGGGAAGACTGAATTTCCTTAGCCAGAATCCTAACTTCGAATCGCGACAGGGCCAATTCATCGTCAAGCATTACGCTGGTGATGTAGGCTATACTGTCGAAGGGATGACGGACAAAAATAAGGATCAACTGTTGAAAGATTTACTTAACCTAGTAGGCTCGAGTAGTAACAGTTTCGTACATACACTCTTCCCCGACCAAGTCAACCAGGACGACAAGCGACGACCGCCAACTGCCGGTGACAAAATTAAAGCATCTGCTAATGACCTTGTCGCGACACTAATGAAGGCTCAGCCATCATATATCCGGACGATAAAACCTAACGACAACAAGTCGCCATCCGAGTACAATGTCGGTAATGTGATGCATCAGATTAAATATTTGGGTTTACAAGAGAACGTCAGGATTCGGAGAGCTGGGTTTGCCTACCGTCAAACGTTTGACAAATTTGTCGAGCGCTTCTACCTATTGTCGCCAAAGACTTCATATGCTGGTGATTACACTTGGACTGGGGATGCAGAATCTGGAGCCAAGCAGATCTTGAAGGACACCAGTATCCCAGCAGAGGAATACCAAATGGGCACCACCAAGGCATTCATCAAAACTCCCGAAACCATTTTTGCCCTTGAACATATGCGCGATAGGTACTGGCATAATATGGCCATCCGTATCCAACGTGCTTGGCGCAACTATCTCCGCTACAGAATCGAGTGCGCTATCCGAATCCAGAGGTTCTGGAGACGAGTCACAGGAGGTCTGGAATATATCAAATTACGAGATCAGGGACACGAGATTCTTGGTGGCATGAAAGAGAGACGCAGATACAGTCTTGTTGGCTCACGCCGCTTCCTTGGTGATTACCTTGGTGTTGGTAACACTGGTGGTCCAGGAGAGATGATCAGAGATTCCGTTCGCATTGGTAGTAAGTGATGCTCTAATATATACGTCTATGGAGAAACGACTAAACAATTCTAACTTGTCAACGTCAGAATCCGAAACTGTCTTATTTTCCTGCCGCTGCGAACTCCTTGTCACCAAATTCGGTCGTTCGAGTAAACCTGCACCACGTATCTTAATTCTTGTATGTGCACTCCTGCCTGCAGTTACAGTTATTCTTTGCTAACCAGCCTCGTTAAAAAGACCTCCCACAATGTTTACATTGTCGTGCAAAGCGTCGTGAACCACCAGCTGAACATATCGGCGGAACGAACAATATCTGTCGGCGCAATCAAGTTTGTTAGCGCTTCGAAATTGAAGGATGACTGGTTTGCTCTTGGAGTTGGCGCTGCTCAAGAGCCAGACCCGCTCATCAACTGTGTGTTCAAAACGGAATTTTTCACATACCTTTCCAATGCTCTCCATGGCCAACTCAATCTTAAACTCGCTGAAGTGTAAGTTTGCCTCTTGCCCCTTAAAACCGATTTTTATCTGAGTTGCGGTCTAACAACCGCCCAGAATTGAATATAACAAGAAGCCCGGCAAGCTAGCAATAGTTAAGACCATGAAAGATCCTGCAATTGCTCGTGACGATATATATAAAAGCGGAACGATCCATACCAGCCAGGGAGAACCTCCAAATTCAGTATCAAGGCCAACTCCAAGGCCAAAGCAGGTGGCCGGAAAGCCTATCACCAAGGGCAAACTACTCCGTCCTGGCGGACCAGGTGGAGGACCATCAAAGTTGGCATCACGGCCAGCTGCGTCAAGACCAACCCCAGCAGCTCAGCCATTGCCGCAAGCTAACGCCCAACCTGCAACTACAACATCCAGGCCAGTACCACAACCTGTTGCGGCCATTTCCGCCAACCATAACAGAACCAACTCAGCGCAAGCTCGAGCACCTCCTCCGCCTCCTCCCGCCGCACCACCCGCAGCCAAAAAAGACACTGCCAAGGTTCTCTATGACTTCAACAGCGAGCGCACCAATGAGCTTTCCATCCGCGTGGGCGAAATAGTCCAAATCATGGCAAAGGAAGGAAACGGTACGGTACCCATACCACTGTTCCTTATACCGAATAATGAACCCAACCTCCCTTCATCTAACAAAACACTAAACTAACCCATTTGCAGGCTGGTGGCTTTGCATGAACACCACAACCTCCGCCCAAGGCTGGGCACCAGAAGCGTACCTAGAAGAAATCGTAGCTCCAACGCCCGCAGCAGCCCCTCCACTTCCTCCACCACCCCCATCAGCCCCCAGAGCCGCTACTATATCCAACAGCAACAACAGCAACAACAATAATAATAATCCCGTAAACCCCATAACCACCAACGGCGCCTCCCGCGCAGCTGCGAAAGCCAAGCCCACCCCGCCCGCTCCGCCCGCCAAGCGGGCCAGTTGCGGGGCGTAAGCCTGCGGCACCAGCGACTCCACGAGACAGTGCGGTTAGCATGAATTCGCAGGATTCGCCCGGTGGGAGCGGTCGTGCGACGCCGAATAGTATGAATAATT